TGTTTAGATTTTTGCCAATGCAAAGCTGTTGCGATACGCTTCAGGTTTCGGACAACAACAGTTGGGACTCGCTCGTTGACATTTTGGCGCGCCGCCAAACAATCGGCCAGAGCAGACTCCGATGAAAATTGAAAATTGAAAATTAAAAATTGAAAATTGAAAATTTCGTCGAGCGAGGCAGAGATGTAGGAGTAACCACTTTCACGCTTAGCGTCCCGTTTTGACAAGTCGCCGACGCACACTCGCCCTTCAACCTATACTTGCTCGTACGCAGTCGGTCGATCGGTTTTCATCGGCACGACTTCCCAAGCGACTCAACCGCGAAGACTGATGATTCTCGGACGGAATGATTTAGTCACGCATCGATTCTCGGTAAAGTCTGAACTTTGCTCCACGAGCGAGGGGATACCGCGGATTGGACAGAGACGAATCACGTTGATATCGTTGGTAGAAGCACGCGCCACGAACATGTCTCTGTTCGCCGTGTTCGACATGTTCGTCGCGTCCGTCGTACCCGCGCATCGTGCTATTCCTTTCGTTTCACTCGGCTTCGTTTCGACTCGCTTCGCGTCGCTTCGCGTCGCTTCGTATCGCGCCGCGTCTATCCTTCGGCTTCTCCGTCCGCGTTTTCGAACGGCCGATCTCGTCGGAAGATCCTGCGACTTCCGAGCGTACTCGGGAGATACATGTCCACGTACGATACGTCGCGTACACGTGCATTTCCATAGACGCTTCGATCGCGTGTCCGCAGACCGGTCGATGTACCCGAAACGGCCAACAGCGATCGGAGAACCAGTCGGTGGATGTGATTTTATGGAACGTTTATTTACCTACTCTAGCCATGGTTTCAATCGATCCGAAGGAGAAGACTCGCGTCGCTAATGGCGCGATTCCCTCCGTCGGAAATTAGCATGAAACTGCAGAAATGCGGAAAAGAAATGCAGCGTGGCGGTGCGACGCGAGGCGAGGCGAGAAATACAACGAAAATAGCAACCGTGTACAGCTGAAATTCACTAGTTTTCGCACGTTTATCGAGAGATCAACATTTTTTCGTAGCTTCAACCGAGCTCGTTTCGTAACGGTCGAATCGTAACAAGATAATCGACGACAAATGACAATGATGAAAGCGGTCTACTCGTTGCGACTCCATCCGACGTCAGACGACTATACTTTTGCATAAGCCGCGTAATTGGCTATGCCGCATCGATTTTTATTTTTAATCAACCGCATATAACCGTTTTCACCCCATCCGTCGCCCCACCAATTTTTCAAGATCCATTCGGTAGGCGTGTAGCCGACGATCAGCATGGCGTGGTTCACGGTGTCCGAGCTGCAAGTTTCGTCGTCGTAGATCCCTTCGCTGTAATTCGGAATCAGAAATTGATACGAGTACGAGTGTGTTCTCTCAACGGAGAGAAAGGGGAAATGTATCCGATGAAAATCGGAGAAACGGCTTCGCGTTTCCATGTTTTGCGCGAATAAATATTACTTCCGTGCCCTTTTCAATCGCAAATCTCGAGTCCAATGACTTTGGTTAGTAGTCGGTTCAGGGGCATCGCGCGAACGATGCATCAAAGGTTATCGCGCAATTGGACCAATTTCTCCGAGTATCTGTGAAAGGGGAACGATACGAGTTTTCGTATTCTCATTTTTCGCATAAACACTCGTCGAACACGAGTCGATTGCGTGTCGGAGCTCGTACATGCTTTTCCTACCGTTTCCTTGCCATCTCTTCGAGATCGAGATCGAGATCGAGATCGAGATCGAGCTTCGGAACGACAAAACTAAAGTATCCGAAACTCGAGCCCAACCCCTATTTCCTTGCTCTCGTTGCTTTTCTTCTCGAGTGACCCAAAGCATTTAGACGGTGCTTTGGGTTTGTTTCGGTGGAAGAACGCAACGATAGGATAAGAAACATACTCACTGATAGAGCTGAAAAGTTTTCGGACTGGCGTTTATCGAAGCCGCGATCGGGCCTATGGTCGCCACGGCAGCTTCTAAAGCATTCTCGTCGCGCGCCGGTAACACTGCCCACGAAGTAATATTAACGACGCTCGAGTCTTCCTGGAACCGACACGCGCCTTGCTGCGTCGGAAACAAATGAAAAGAATGAATAATCGAGTAATCGTATCGTTCAACGCGAGTCAACGAGACGATGTCGCATGGGGTGGATTTGCTATGAAATTGGTTCGCGGGACGAGCCGGGAACTTTTTGTCGCTATCGTCGCTATCGGGTGAACGAGAAACATACTCTTCCTTTGTACGGATAATGATCTCGAGCCATCAGTCCTTTCGCCTTCTCGAGATATCTGAGCGTGTTCCTCAGGGAACCACCGGAGCAACCCAAGTTTCCCGTAGAGGTGCTGCAGTCGATCAACTGTTGCTCGCTCAGAGGAATCAGCATGCCGGTTTCCTTGAAAACTTGACCCTGAATAGCGCCGGCTATCGAATAAGCGTAACAACTGCCGCAATCTCGCTGGTTCTCCGGGCGAGTTTGAAACCCGTGCTCGCGCCAATCGAGTCGCGCGGGCACGAGTCGGGGGTCGCGCAACACCGCGCCAACCATCGGCTCCTTCGAGACGCGCCGTTTACGACTCGGCATCAGCTTCACCTGCAAACGAGGTGAGAAACAGCGTCGATCGGGAAACGATACGACCGAGATCTCCTAGTTGCGCACCATGCCTCGAATGTATTGTCTGGTTCCGAGATCCGCTATGTGATTGTCGCGCAGCGTGTAGCTGTGATGACCGGCAGCTGCCATCATGTTGTGCTTGTAGATCGTGACCAGGTTTGCCTCCCAGGCTGTTCTCCTCGCAGCCTCCTCACTTTCGGAATAGCTCTTGTTGTATCGAACCTGAGAACAACGATAGAACGAACAGTTCCAGATTTCAACGGATCGCCGATCGAACTGCACGTACCTTGTACGCGTTCCAATACTCGTCCAACTTTTCGGATACTTTCGGAGGAAAACGATTCGCCTTTTCGAACGGTCGAATATCGGCGAGTGCTATCAGCAAGTGCGTCAGTACGAGGAACGCGAAATTCGAGAGGCCGCGCAGCCGAAGATTCATCGCGGAATCACTTTTCGCGTCGCTACTCGCTACCGAAACTGGGCCGTTTCGAGAACGCCGAGCCTTCTTTACTCGTTTCGTCGTCGAGGAAATTCCGTCGTCAGCGTTTCGGTTTTCGCGAGTAAGCACCGGACAAACAACAAACACACCGCTCGCCGAATCTTGCGTCACGTTCCTGGTACACTCGATGCAGTTTACGCTGCTTTTCCTTGGACAACATTTTATCGTACCTCTCGGCCGATTTCGAATAATCGTGTCTCATTGTCGGTCCGAGTTTGCACGAAGGAGCGCGCTATCTACGAATATCACGATGGCAAGGTTACGCGAGAGGAGAAGGGTGTAAATACTCTGAAACTGAACGAAACCGACGCTAAAATTCGCTTGGCGACGAGTTTCGAGCATCCTCCTGCTGGAACGTTCGGTAGTCGAGGGATCGTCTCGACCAGTAACCATTGCTACTCGATTAAAGTCGACCGTTTTTCTGTCGCCGACGAAGAAATATCGATACTCGAATTCGACGATAGCGATACGGATCGCGAATTGTTATCGCTCGGAATATTTCACGGGTTGGCCGTCAGATGGCGGTACCTAGAGGAATTGGCGGGCGTTTGATCCTCGTCGCGTTACGTCGCGGTACGTCGCGGTACGTCGCGGTACGTCGGATCCCGTCGGATCTCGTCGGCGACACGCATCTTCGCGGTCTTTCGGTTTCCCTCGGTGGGAAAATTCGCGGCGAACAGGCGCTTTCGCTTTCTTCGGGAACATCTTTGAACGGAACCGACGGTTTCTCTATGAATTTTCCGGTCGTCGGCTACGCGCGCTCGCTCGCGAATGCTGCTCGGCCGATCGCTCGTTACTCGCTTGTCCGCTTTCTCTCGCGTGTCGCGAATGCCGCTGGATGGGGGTAACGCTCGGAAGATCGCGGATGCCCATTCGCGCAAACTGCGATCCGTCGCGCGTCTTCCGTCTCCCGCCAAACATCGCGCCGCTCGACTCGCGCCCGATATCGAGGATCGAGGACCGAGGATCGAACATCGAGGATCCAAGATCGAGGATCGAAGATCGAGGATCGAGGATCGAGGATCGAGGATCGAGGATCGAGGATCGAGGATCGAGCATCGAGCGAGCAGCGTGTCGGGTATATCGGT